CCGACTGGTTTGGGTTGATTTTTTAAGTTTAATTGGGCTGGATTGGGTTTCGGGTTATAAATTAAAACCCAACCCAACCCAACCCAACCCAACCCGATGAATTAAAAGATTTAATACCTCAAATGGAAAAAAACTAAATAGACACAATAATGGAGACAATAGAAGGATTTAGAATGTATAAACGTCCCATATTTTTACGTAGACTGATTGGTATGAATACAATGTACAAATGCAAAATAATTTGACGATAAACTAAAAATTAAGCACGTGATAATGAATTGATTAAATCCCAAAAAAACTATAAAAAATAAATGTTTCATAGTTTAAACTTATTTATAAATTAATTTTCAGAAAGAATTCATTACATAGGTTAAAAATAACAGAAATCTTCAAGTGGTTTCAAACATTAAAATTTTTTCAAATTTAAAAAAAAAAAAAAAATCGAATCCAATTTGAATTGGGCCTAAACCCCAACCGATCAACCCAAGCTTGATCGGTTTGGGTTAGGAAAGGTTCAAACAAATAATTAGATTGTATTGGTTTAATTTTAAATTAAATTGACCATGTTGGATTGGATAAAAAATCAACACAATCCAACCCACACCCAGTCCTAATTGCACATTTTATTTTATAACACTAATAATTATGTTGATGGTGTAAGGGTTGTCACAAATGATATTTGTGTCCGAGGCTTCTAATTTGTCATGTAATGTCACGGTTTGAACGAGGCTTCTGAATGTTCAATTGCTAAATGCTCGAGGGTCAGTATCCCTTTGCTGGGGAGAGCCTCAGTGGTCGAGGCATACGTTTGGTTCGCTACACTTTGGAGGTCGAGGTGCAAGTGCTGGTGACATGTGAAAAATAATTATTTCATCACATACATTTGGAATTGTGTACTTAATGAGAGTCAATTATATATTGAAAATTATGTTACTTTTAATAAGTATGTAAGTTATGAAAAGTTTTCATGATCATATTTGGTCCAATTCGATTTACACCGCCCGTGTCTAATCAAAATGGGACAAAAATATTTTGGAGTTTGGATGATACACAATAAATATGTGTACTGCTATGCTTTGATATATAATTGAATATTTAACAAAATTCATAATATAAAAATATAAATAACTAGTGAAAAATAATTTAAAAACTTTAATTCTATCTCAATGAAAAACAATTATACTTTGAAAAACTTTTTATATTTTTTAAGTAACGAGCCATTGACCCGACCACTAATCAACCATTCTGACCAATAACCCAATACCTAAATCAGGTTGATGTTCGGATCGGATCTAATAACTATGCCCCTTATAGTAAGGAATATATGATACATAAGATACTTTTTAAGATATTGATTGCATGATTAAGTTTAGATTTTCAGTTCTGTAATTTTGTCAAAAGTTTCTCTAAAACATCTCCTTATTGCATGTTCACTTAACTTAAGAAAAAATGTAAGTTATTTTTAAATATATGGTAATTATTTTTTATAGCTATATAACTAACTATTCTTCTAACTTTAATAATTTTGTATCTATTTATTAAGTGTTAATTTCTAAACATGTTTGATGAATAAATAAAAAATTTCTTCCTTTAAAGTAAAAAATTTACTTATTACAAACTTTGATGAATAAATTATTTTTATCCATTTGATAGTAGCTATTTCGAAAGATGTTTGAATAAGTAAATTTTTTTCCTTTTAAGTAAAAGAAACTTATTTGTTTTAAATAACTCTAATTTTGAATCAATTAAAAAATCTATTTGGCAAAAGTAGAGATGTGAGAATAAATTAAAATTTTCTTCTACAAAGAAAGTTATTTTTTTTTTTTACATAAGTAGCTTATATATAATTGTGATAAATAAATCAACTAAAAAATATTGAAAAATTGAAAATTCAAATCGATTAGTTCAGCAAGAGAAATAAAACATAGAATATTAAAATTCTAAAAATTATTATTTATGAGGAAAAATGTTTCCATAACATCTAGGAACGAGCTAGAGATTAAACAAAAAAAAAAGAAAAGGATTATTTACTCACATGACGAGTCTACCTATAAATTAAAGAAAACGACAAAATTACTTCTACCTATCTCTATCTAGCAAATGAAAGTATCAACGAAATTAAACCCCTAGCAAACTGCTTCTACGATAAGCCTCTTGGATATGCCGTCGGCGCAGTCAGCCGTGCCAAAAGTGCTCTCCGATGCAGAAACTGTACACGATTCTTTACCAACGCAGGCACTTTGGACGATTGATAGTGCATCTGTTTCGCTTGTGCAGCTGCCCTTGTCGTATGAGCCACAAGTTCCTTGTACATCGCCGAAGCTAGCAAATTTGATGGCAGAAATTGGACGACCCTGGCACGATAGTTCCATATTCTTGTTCTCATAGGCACTGCCGCAAGCTGTTCCAACTGTAACAGTTTGGAAGTTGACAAGGGTCGGGTTTCCTCCAAATTCCTCGAAAAGCACCAATTCATTATCACCATCGTTAATGAAGGAACGAGGAACATGGTACCTGCAATTATAGTAATATGCTTCATGTTAAGTCAATATTACGGTAGAGCATAGGACCTACCTACATTTCCAACTATCAAAATTTTGCTTAATATTTTGGGAGAATCGCACCCAGACAAGACTTAATAAAAAAGATTGTGATTGACTAACCATCTTTGAGTAGGTTGACCACAGTTTGAAGCACATTTGGTGCTATAATATGAACCGCGATAATCACAGACATCGGTCGAACATACATCATCTTCTGCCATATAACTCGGCCAGTAACGACCAATACTATTTCCGTTCACCCAAGCCATACCTTTGCCTAAACCTTGCATATCTAAAGCAACTGGATCTTCTCCTAATGGCGCCTTGAATGTAGTCTGGCATCGAAAAAACATATTATCAATTTTTGACAAATTATTATGAACAAAAGAGGGGTCGGAATATAATGCTCGATTTACCTTGTACCATGTCAACATTCTATTAAGAGGAAGATTTTCTGTACTCCATTGAGCAGCAAATTTAGAATCTGAACTGTAGATTTTGTCATCCAGGCCGTGCAATCCAGCCTTGTACGACCACTTGTGCAATGACAGGTCTTTTATGATTGTCTCGTCGCCTTTCCTACCAACGATCTCGACTGGTCCGGATATCCCAGCTTGTACAATATCGAACCTCGGACCATAGTTTTGAAAACCAATGGTTGCGCTGAGTAAAGTTATTTGATTCGTTCCGGGGTTCAATTTAACCTTCTTCTCAAATACATAGTTGGATACACCATAAGTTGCCCACTGAGAATCTGCCAACAACATAATATTTTCATGAATAGATTACTAAAATAGTTGATTCTCGACTGCTTGCATAGAATATTGAGATTAATTACCAAGATAGTCGCCATTGACATAAGCGTGCAAAATATGTCCAGTCGCATTCACGCGAATGCTCATATTATCAGTCCAGATGGGATCATCCTTTTCGAGATTGACACTGTTTGGAAATTATATGTAAGAATTCATAATAATAATTAATAAAAAAAAAAAAAATATATATATCTTAAAAGAAAAATTCTACAAACCTGGTCATGTACCACAAATAGTCACTAACATCATTTGCAACCTTTTGATCCACAATCATGCTTGTAGAAAGTTGTCCCTTTCCTTGAACCAGAGTTTGTTCGAGATTAATCTCGGGTCTCCAACTCCATTTCAATGAGGCGGGTTCGGCCTCTGCCTCATTCGACTTCTTCACCATCAAATTAGTCTGAGTGTTTACCTTAGCCGTGTTGTAAACTTCTGTCTTACAGTCAGGAAGAATACTGACCGACCATGCGGGTACATTGTAATCAACTCCTTGATAATTTACCGTCGCATCGCTTGTTTCATTTCCATTGCCGAAGAAACAACTCGATGTGTTATCGAGGGTATAAACAGTTCCCTGTCGATCGGTATAAATTCAAGTAAAAAAATATAACTTACAAGTTAAAACAAAAATCATTCAATACTTACATATAAGGAATTTCCATAGTCAGTAGAATTAACATTTCCATAAGTGAGAGTCCTTTCCATTGACATCAAAATATTATGAAGCTGCGTCAAGTGTCCGTATTTTGGTTGATTTGGAGTACCGTATTCATTGAGAGGTGCATCATAATCGTAGGTTGTGCTAATGTACGGGCCACCAGCAGTTCTTCCAAAGTTTGTTCCACCGTGGTACTGAATTATATAACTAATTAGCTCGAAAACCATTAAAAAAACCGTATTTCGTGTCGATTTTGAACTTAATACTGACCATATAATAGTTTTGCAACGCGCCTCCATTCTGATAAAACCGTGCAACAGCGAAGGCAACATCTTCAGCAGTTCTTAAAGGATCTGGACCACCCCAATTCTTAAACCTAAATTTCCAAAATATATATTATTAATTTACTCAAAATTGATTAATATAATCAGAAAAAGATTAAGCCTTACCATCCAGTCCAATTTTCAGTCCAAATTTTTGGGGTGTTTGGATTGTTCGGAGTGAATTGATCACAATAATATCCATTGCATGTGTTCAGCTGCAACAAATTATAATATTCGTAAATTAAAGACGTATATTATTGATATTGAAAATGAAGGAAATTAATACCATTGGTTCAGGAGCATCGCTTTCTTGGCACATAATCCATGGAACTCCAATATTGAGTGACTCAGCCATGCTTGCACACCAATTAAGATATGCTTTGCCAGCATCTCCATACGACGAAATAACATTACCATATTCATTCTCAATTTGTGCAAGAATAATAGGACCTCCTTGCGACGCAAATAAACTCTCTTTTTTAATCATATGGACTATCAATGACGTGAAATTTTGCATCTCATTCTGAAAATTATATAATCACACATTACAATCATACATTAAAAAAAAAACCCCTATAGAAGTTGAAGTAAGTAATAGGGTTAATTACCATGAAAACATCATTTGCAGTGCGCATCTCAAGACCAGGCATATTATGTAACCATACAGGAAATCCACTGGATAGATAGATATAATATTAATCTTATGTTAGCAAAAAAAGGTAATTAATAGGATAAGAATAATTGTAAATACCCATAGTTCCACTCTGCACAAACATAAGGCCCAATGCGAAGAATAGAGTGAAGTCCTTGGTCCTGAATTGTCTTGAGAAACCTTATGAGATCGTTATTGCCACTAAAATCATACTGACGACGTTGAGGCTCGTGTATATTCCAAAAAACATAGGTTTCGATAGCATTTAATCCTCCCTCTTTCGCTTTCTTGATCAAATCCGGCCACATCTAAATTTTATAAATAAATTATTAGAAATACATTATATAATAGTATCATATATAGTTGTGTTATTGTACAAACCTCGGCAGTACTTCGTGGATAATGGATTGAACCGGAGATGATAAGTTTGCGTTGCCCATCTATTGTAATGGCTCGTCCATCGTGAGAAACTTGGGAGCCGAAAGCACTACATGTCAAAATCAATAGGGAACTAAGAAAAAACAAATGGTTTTTTGAAAAACTCATAGCTGTAAGTATGGAATGACTATAGACTCATGGCATCTATTTATAGTTGAATTCTTAAACTAAAAGGATCAAATCTTATCTCGAAATATCTTCTTTAGATTTGATCACATAATCTCTTTCAGTTGGATAACACTATTCAAATTAACAGAGTTGTACAATATGTGGACTCTTCATTTCTGCTTTTAAGGAAAAAATGAAAATTGTGTTGTTTTTAAGTAGAAATGAAAAAAATAGTGCAACAAATTGTTTAAAGTAATTGAACGAACGATCGACTTATTCATTTATAGTTCAATCAAATTAGGTTTAGAACTTTGAGATTAAGGTTGACATAATCAAACAATACAATTCACTTGAAAGGGTTTGTTAATCATTTGAAAAATCTAAATTTTCGTTGAAGATGAATTATAAGAAAACAAAGTTACTGTTCCTCTAACATCCGTATATTTACAGATATAGGTTACTTTAATCCAATAGATGTGTTCAAAGGTACATAAATATTTTATTTCACCAAACAAATAAATAAGGCGAATGTCTTAGTGGTTGTACTTCAATGAAAATGAGTTTTGTAAGCAAATAAATACGATTACATTTAAATCAGTTTCTTAACCAAAAAAAAGTCTAGTAACTTAAAACACCCATTAAAATGAATAAAGAAAACTGTGGACTCTAATACTTAGTCTCTTGGTATATTAAAAAAATTAGTCCAGTAAACTCAAGTCTAGTTATTTTAATTGAATTAGGTTTCAATCTCATATTAAAGTTAAAATAATTAACAAAACCCAGTCAAACTGTACAATTGAACACTTTTATGTCTGGAGCATAGAAGTATAACTATATAGAATTTTAATGTGGTACATATCACTAAAATTAAGCCATTCTTCTGTTGAAGTCACATTCACAAGAATTTGTCAAACTTCCTACTTGTGTATGTTTGGTGCAACAATTAGGACACATAAAACAAGCTGTCGATACAAAGTACATAACCATCCCCGGCCAAGGCATGCTATTTCAAACATAGGTAAACCTCAAGATGATCACTATTCAACAAGTTCGACGAAACATAAACTTGTAGACTAAAGGAAGCAACCCACACTACATAAATGATTGAACCTATAATCCTACTTCACGAGTATAGAGTGAAATACAATGGTAGAGTAATGATTTGGTGAAGCATCTTACTAAGCTAAATGTCAATAGATTCTTTTTAGCACGCTTACTTCTTTAAGATATCTTGAACACTTCTCGATGTCGTATGAGATCTACGATGTTTATAACTATAAAGGCGCGTCACTACTCCTCCATTGGATAACTCGCTTTATTAAAAAGAGAAGTTTATTTAGTAAGCAATTTTAACTTTTACAAATGATGACAACCTTAAACACAAACCAACAAAATACATTTCTTAGTCACATATTCTAACCAAATTGTTTACTCATCTATGAAATCCATTAGCGTTCATCAATCGTCACTTACTTGACAGTCAAAATATTTTAGATTAGGTACCACATTGTTGTCAAGGTCTTTAAAGCAAAAGCAATCGAAATTTCAACTGATAGGTTAAGACATCTACAATTTTGAATTGTNAATTTCAACTGATAGGTTAAGACATCTACAATTTTGAATTGTTTATTAATTGCATGAAGATGAAATGGCAGTTAATCACTAAGAAAAAAAAATTGAAAATAACATAGAGCGTGTTAAGCATTTTATAAATCTACATTTTCGTTGAAGATGGATTAAAAGAAAAAAAGAAAAACTCTTATTCGTGAAGTATTTTCAAACAAAAATAGATGTTTTATTCCAAGAATAAACACATATTCCTAACAGATGCTTCGACTTGCAATGAGTAGTGATTGTTGATCCCTGAAATGAGCCAACAGATGTCGGGCCCACTAACGACAAATCAAGTACGATTTTGGCGCGTTCCTACCAGAATAATGGTGGTAGCAAAGAGGAAATGGATGCGCGAGGTACTTTGCGGCGAGAGACAAGAATGTTTAAGCTCTGGCAGATAAAACAAAAGCAATTGCGCTAACAACGATTGCCAGGTTGAAATCAAATTAATCTATGTAATAACAAATAGGAATATTTGGAAGGATAGATGAAACACGTATATAAATTATTATCTTGTATGTTGAGATTTACAACTCATAATCATATAAAGAAGATGGAAAATAAACTCAAATGTTTGAATATTTCATTCCAGCGTTCAAGTGTGTGTCTCAAATATATATAATTGTCTCTATTTCAATCAATAATCCAACCCTTTTAAGTTACAAAGAGAACCGATTTATACTATCTTGGTCGACGTGGTGACCGTTGGATCAAAACCACATGGCCTCATCTCCCAAATTGAGACGTCACATCTCTGTCTATTCATACATTTAATACAATTATAAGGGGTCAACCGCTCTATATAATAGACTGATACACTGACAAACTTTATTACAAGAGTTACATCAATCACTTCTAGAAAATCCTCAAATTTATCACAAGAAAAAGGGTCAGGCCATGAGCTTCGGGCGATTATGAGAGCCTCGGAAGAATCTTCGAGGTGGTCCTCTAAGTGGAGAGTTTCAGCTCCTTTCTTTGTTTCCTTAGATAGTTTCATCTTTGAGGTAGTGCCTCAACTTGGACCTCGTCCTTGCAGTGTAAGGACTTCAGTTTTGTTTGACTTCTTTATATTTTGACCTCATGGGTTTTTTTTTTTTTTTTTTTACCTACGTGGCTTGTTACATGTCACTTTTTCTTTGAGTTTCGGAGGCGAGGCGTAACAATAGTCCCCCAAATCTAGACATGATTATTTGTGTAATGCATGGACTTGAATGTACAGTAAAAAATTTTGTTGGGGGGTGGGGGGGAGAGGTGTGGTTTTTACCATACCACAACAATAACCCGCTAAGTCTAAGTATAATAATTCATGTTATGGTTAGAATTTTAAAATATACCTGACTTGTACAGCCCCTCTGCAGGTGTTGTTCAAAGTGGTTTACTTTGTGATATTTTACTTGCTCGAACAATTCTGGGGATGGTTAATGAAGTAGAGCCCCTGACTTGTTTAAAATATACCTGACTTGTACAGCCCCTCTGCAGGTGTGGTTTTTACCATACCACAACAATAACCCGCTAAGTCTAAGTATAATCATTCATGTTATGGTTAGAATTTTAAAATATACCTGACTTGTACATCCCCTCTGCATGTGTTGTTCAAAGTGGTTTACTTGGTGATATTTTACCTGCTCGAACAATTCTGGGGATGGTTACTGAAGTAGAGTAATTTCGAAGTTTTATCTTCCTCAGTACCGTTTACATATTCGAAACACTAGCTAAACTGGTTGAAGTGAAGAGGGTTAGGTCCTTATAAGGCTTCAGAGTTGTTAATTACGAGACGCTTCATTTTAATAATTTTGAGAAACACAAGGTGTCCTTAATTATGGCGCCCAAATGATTTGCTGTTGTGGCACGTTTCGAAGAAAACACGGCTGAGGCGGTTCGACTTCCAATACATGCAATTGTCCCCGCCTTTAATGCGAAATGATGATTGTCTCCCACATACATTGCGAACTTCAAACACGTGAAGGCGCGTGGATTAGACGTCGTTAGCTGGGTCGTAGAAGATGAAGCGCCAGACATCCTGAGTGGATCAGATTTAAACTTTCAAATGAACGGTCAGATGATTCGGATCAAGATCCAACGGTTGGAGTTGAGTGGGTCTGCCTATAAAAGGCACAATGCTTTGGGAGGATTTCGTTACTTTTGCACGAATTTTGCATCTCCTAAATCTTCAAGTTTTTCCAAGAACTCTTTAAGTTTTTCTTCTTGAAATTCTTCTAAGTATTCTTCTCTGTCGCATTTTTTTTCCTTTTTCTTGTTATTTTCAAGAATTTTAGTGTTTCTTCTCTCTATTACTTTAAGAAACTCGTAAGCATTTTTTCTTTTTCAGCTTTGTAGACATTTACACAAACTTGTAAATCAATGGCTTATTCGAATTTGAACGTAGATCTTAGTGAGTTAGCAAGTGAGATGGGGGTATAAATCACCAATACAGCCGACCTTATTAGAGCCGTTGAGGTTGGGTGAGGTGCCTCAGTCTCTAGGGGGTAGGCCATCAGAGGATGACATAGCCAAAATCCCCCTCCGTAGATCTAACGTATATGGCCAACCTTAGGGATAAGTATAGAATCCCTTACAACATCGAACTCCTTTCCCCATCTCCTAACGAGCGAGCCTGCTACCCTAGGCAAGACCGTGTCACCATTAGTGAATATTTGTTGAAGGCTGGGCTTCGCCTGCCAATCCACCATTTCTTTCGGGTTATCCTTAGGCTATACGGGCTGGCCCCTACCCAGCTCGTCCCTAACGTTTGGGCTCTGTTGGTGGGTTCTTACTTCTTTTGGAAGGATGCCTCCTTGGGTGAGGATGTGCCCTTGCACGTCTTCCAAACATTATACCAGCCTCATTTTTATAGAAATGGGACTCCAAGGGGTGGTATTCTTCATGGGGGTCGCACTCCCCCTTCGTCCTGGGCCTGCCCTCTTCTATCAAAGCATAGAAGAAGACTTGGTTTTGGGTTAGGGAGAAGTGGCAAGAGTGTGAGGACGACCTCGTCCCACACGTCAAAGTCCCAACCTTATACTCCGATGCCCGTGAGTGCATTTCTTGCTTCCTTGATTTTCTGATCTGAAGAGGTTTGAGACTTACCATTTTTGTGTTTGTTTTGCAGGGTCGGTTGAATGGTTCGAGTTTACCGAGAGTGACTGGGATACTCTTATTGAGGTCTACAATAAATCATCAGACTCACGTGACTTCGACCGTTTAATCTAGTCGACGTGCTTTTTTGAAGATTTTTGCTTGATGGTAAGGAAGGTTAAGATGGCGTTATACTTTGCCATTTTATTGATGTTTCTTTTGTAAAATTTTGCTAACCCTGTTTGTTTCTTTGCTTGTAGAAAAATTTGATAAGAGGATGCATCCTACTCCTGACATGGCCCCATCCTCGC